AAATATGGTACAACGAAAAATTGTTGAAAAAGAGCGGAAACTGGCTACTGAATAGGCGGAGAAGGTAGATTCAAACTTGATTTCACATAATTCTTGTAGTAATAGCTCTTCCTAACTGCTTGTTATTTGCTTGATTTGGGTTTTCATTTTATTAAACCGCTCTGTTGGTATCCCATGTCGGGATTTTTCGTTGTACCATATTTTTCGCTATGCCATCGGGTACGTTAGCCCGGGGACCCCGCGAAGGCTAGAGGCGTCATCGTGCGCATTTTGGCTGGGGATGAGGGACTACGGGTACCGGTGGTGCTGCCCGTTGGGGGGGGACATGTTTGCGAAGATGGAGGAGGGGTGATGGGGGAGGTGGCGGAATTGAGGGAAGTGGCGGGGAATACGAATTTGGAGGTAGTGCAGGGGCATTGATAATAGGATACTCGAGTACAGCAAAAACTCGCCAAACTCGCTATGCAGGTAGGAGAATTTAGGCACTAATGCGTGGCGATACAGCCAAGATCATTCCAGTGACCAACCTATTTTCTCTTAGCTGATGAGACCAGCATCATTATTACAGTATTTTATGTAGGTGCCGGCACCTGTACGAGTGCGGCCGATAGATATATTAGTCACGTGCATTATCTCTGGACACCACACCCATAGGGCCAACCAAATTTTTATCTTATCAGACCCACGTGACTAATATATCTATCGGCCGCACTCGTATACAGCTATTCTCAGGTGTTATTGTCATTTTCCGTCATTTCCCAGGGTAAAACAGCTCCTATCCAATCCCTAGCGCCAATACCTGCATAGCGAGCCCGGCGAGTCTTTGCAGTAGTCTTTTTTGTTTCTTTAGTTTATCGAGAATTCAATCATTTTTTCCCCCTTTCGCACTTGGCATCCGAAAAACTGTAACAACCCCGCCGATCCCCCCTCGCTAATCTCAGTCACGGCGACACCATCGGAGATAACCGCACCAACCTGCAAGGGTCCAGTCAGGCACGAGACTAACCGGCGTTAAGACAGCTGCCGTCCTCTACTGTCACTTAAATACTGGTATGGTACTACTCGAGTAGTCATTCTACGAAAATCCCCCCCCCCTTGACGATTAAAGCTAAACCGTTAGTTATCCAGCACAGTAGAGCTATATCACTCCTCACACTCGCTTTCCACTGCGCGACGCAAATATAGAGCAACTTTAATTTACCGCCCCAGCCCCTGATGGGCACATGCAAATTCTTCTCTAGTAACAAGCAGGTGCCCCCCCCCCAACGTTCCCCGGAGAGGAGTTATTGATATCCGCTCGCACCCGCTTGAAAAACATCTGCCATAGATTACTATTTCCTATACGATGCCCTCCACTGGCCCCCAATGTCTGCCAGTATCCTGACTGTCTCCTTACTTCCCCTGATTACTCCAATCATGCAGCGTTGTCCTTCGGTCTCATAGGTCTTTCCAGCGCGCATCAGGTTCATATTCAACAGCTCTGAGATTAAAAAAACTGTCCATCCCCGCGCACTATTCATCATAGAATCTAGCACCGTGCTCCCCCACTCCTCCCTTCACATTCAAACCCCCGCCTAGCTTCAGGAGCCCCCAGACCGTCCCTTTGTGTAGGAGGTGGAAAACCGAGAGCGTATCGATACCTGTGCTCCCGAAAATCTTGGGTGGGCGTGCGAAATAAGTTCCTAGATATTCGCATCGCAGGATACTAAGTTGGCTGGATGAAAAGCCGAGAGGCGGTAGCGTAGTTGGCTGAAGTAGGCAGCAGTGGTTTTGGTGTGATTAATGCTGATTCTGTTTCCGGTTTGAGTCGGCTTTTGGGACCGTCGGAAATGCCCCCACTCTCCGCAAACGGGAGTATTCCCAGCCCTATGGACAGGACTTATGTGGTAGCCATCATCGTAAAAATGCGCGAACGTGTTGCGACACCGCTCCTCTTCGCCGTACTGGTGATTGGGTAAGCAGCCTGGTTTCGTGCCAGGTTTGTACAGTAACCAACAATTTCAGTACGAACCGACCGGGGTTTGAGCTAGGTCAGTACGACATCAAGAATGTACCAGTACCGGTACCAGAATTTGGTCGATATGCGATACCATAGCTGTGTTCATGGCTAAGCGCAAGAGACTCCTTACACGTGGATTGAAACTGAAAGAGAGTTGGGCTTCAATTCTGTACGGGATCTATCAACATGAACCTTCGCCTTTTCAGACGAACGAGGAGACTGCGAATAGGGCAAATTATAAAAAGTAGGAGAATGCAAGCAAGAAAGATTTCATAACCTGACAGGCGCCTTCTCTGAATCTCCTACCGCTCTACCTTGTTCTCCCCTCCCCCCCATCTTATTGTAAACCGCCCAGCCTGCAATTCCGATGACACTTCCGATCCCCGCACTCCCCGTAATATCCTTCTAGCGTAGGCCCTCCTTTACACCTCCTAAAACCCCGCCCACAAGCGCCCCGGAAGCACTCCATTGGTCGATCCCATTCTGAGGTTTATACTCGAGAAATCTCCATGATCGGTCCTGCCACTCGATCCCCTGCCTCCCATACATCCTCCCCGAAAGCGCCAGTGCGGCAACTCCTGTAGCTAAAACAACCCCAACACCCAAGGCCTGGACCATAGAGGTTGCCAGAGGTAGCTTGCACGCGTGCGCGGAAAGCCTATACCGAACCGCACCGTAGAGAGCTCTGAAGCCACCCCAACGTTGGCCCCACGATGTAAGACATGTGTGATGAGAATAGTGGGCGAGTAGGGCTGGTCTTCAGCATAGTCTGGGTGGGGGACAAAGCGATTCATCTTAAAAGATTTCAACGAATCGCTGCCGATGGCCGAAAATGTGGAATTTGTGTGATGAGCTTGTTCTCTGACCTACGTAACCTGGCCGACCCGAAGGTCGCCTCTTTATAATTCAATCGGCTGAAGTCGGGGGGCTCTACCCCCCTAAGACAACAAGAAATGGAATGGAAAACCAAATAACGTAAAACGCAATTTTAAGAAGACTGCATTTATCTGAAAGTAATTCTCCTTGACGGAGATATGCAACCGCCCCCCATTGCTTCTATAAGGGAAACGGAAAGGAACAAACTCCACTTCTGAGCTCCCCCTACGAGTATTCCTTCTCTAAGAGAAAAGGAAAAAAACAAACCTCGCTTCTCTGTGTTTCCGCTCCTAAATATTCATCCCCCCCCCTATTACCGTTTCTGAATGGCTAATTCAACTAGACGCCCTAGGTTGTCTAGCTCGGACTTGGTCCAAAAATTCAAGTTTTCGATTTGGGCCTCCATTGTCTGCTCTGATTTGGCAACAACATGCTCGATGTGCGCCATTATCTCCTTGTTGGCTGCTACGGTACATCATACCGTATTATCTCGAGTTATACAGTTTTTTGCCAAGACCGGGCGTCGCTTGAGGTTGGTGGGTGCGCGGAGTCTGAAATGGGTCCCTACAATGCCCCCAGACAGCATGGTAACCAAGAATGGATTTTAGGTGTCTACAACAATGCGGCTGAGTGTGTTGTAATCACTAAAACACTGGGGGGTCAACGAACACCGGGGTCTAACGGAAAAGCCAGGCAAAATCACCGTTTGCCACTACACTTTTAGTGTATTGTTCGTTGGGCCCCCGTGTTCCTTGACCCCTCTTCAGGTCTAGTCTATCTGCAAGGGTTGGGATGGTGATCAAACACATGCCATGCACTTTGGCGTGAAGTGTTGGACACCTAAAATCCACCCCTACGTTACTATGTTGACTAGGGGCATTACAGGGGCGCATTTCAGACTCCACGCACCTGCCAACTTTAAGCAACACCCGGTCTTGGCAAAAAACTATAACTCGAGATAATACGGCATATCATAACAACTTTGTAGGCGAACTGTATATATGAATGTGAGCAAAACAACGCAGAAAACAAGCATGTACTGTACTGGTGAACTTACAGAACCGAATCCGAACACAATTGTCCCACCCCCAATCCCCACCATCATCTTTACCCACCCCTCGATTCTCGCAAATCCATTATTGATGGCTTTGCGATGAATCGCAACCTCCTTTTTTTAGTATCAGTTAGCATGTGCCAAACTGATTGTGAATTGATCCTTACCGTTTCTATAGTACTCAACCTCTCCAACTGGGGAAAAGCCTGAGGGGCTGCGGGGTTTAGGATAGATTCTCCTACAAGTTCATCGATCTCCCTCTGTTACAAGTCAACGATTTAGTATACCTCACTGAACCACCATCGAAGGTTTTACTTGCCTTTGTGGTCTGGCTCAAGTGGTGAGTTGGACGCATGCGAAGGTAAAAGCGGGGGGTAACGGGTGAAAAAGCCTATATGAATACACAACCGACGTGTGAAGTTGAGAGCCATTCTTGTTGAAAGTGTGAAGCGAAGTGTTAAGCGGAGTGTAAAACGAAGTGTGAAGTGGAGTGTGAAGTGTAGCGGTTTAGGAGAAACAGGACTGTCAGAAAAGAATCCTAGGGTTATATACCCTATTGAGTTAAGCTAGTTCCCCGGAAGACTACGGTGGGTCAGACGTATGATACCTTGGAGGTGCAAATGAGATTCACCGTACTGTACAGTACATGTACCCGGGGTTGTGGGTAAGTCTGTCAAACCTCCCCCTCATGTCGCAGTGCTGAGGTCTTCTTTGCCTTGCCCCAACCAAAACTAGCCGACTCAACCCACCAGCCAAAAACAACCATTGGACGATACCATAATGGAACCAAGTCAGCTAGCCTGCCGGCATAATCATATCAGCCCTATGGCGGCTGGCGTCCCTTTCACGGGAATGCCGATGGGGTATAATGCTCTGCGTGGTGATTGGATAAATAAGTTACTTGAGACGAGAGGAATGCGGAACCTCTTCGGGCTTCCGTCTCTGGGCTCACTGCAATCCTTGCAGCGCATCTAGGGGAACCCACCAAAATTTATCAACCATGCGGTATTGTGCGATAAGCGAGGGGCGTGTCTAAGCCGTCTTTCCACAGGACGGCTATCGTGAAAACCCTGAAGTTATCGACATAGCGGCTCAAAATCCTGAAATACTGTGGTCCAGTCAACCGCCCGCGCCAATCAAAAAAATTTGATGTCGGGGGTTACACGCTCCCCCTCCACCGCTGGCTTCTGTGACGGCACGGCATGTTCGGGCATCGTAGTTCATATTCATTTACGAGTATTTAGGGCTTTGGGGGGGTTAGATGAGCCAGGGCACTAGACAATTAACAACACCTTGATAGAAGTGCTGGCTGGATTGACACACGCTCTGTCTTGGTTTACAACAAGCTATATACTGGAAGCATTTCTTGTCGTGAGTCCAGGCGTTTTTCTCACTCGTCCTGCTTACCAGTATATCCAACCTCTCAAATGAAATTCCCTCGACCGATCTTATACGGGCTGAATATCTGCCGTGTGCCCTCGGATGCGTACCATATGATACTTTCCTGGGAAACAGACCGTAAGTATTCATGCGGACTGAGCCTTGGTGGTGTCTGCTCATTGACGATCCATGGCCGTTGGTTCCTATGACAAGAATCTGGGGCGGCTCCCTGAGCTACCCTATTTTCGAAAGAGTTTGTGCGGCTCTGAGGGTCAACAGGGGATTCTGACGTCTCGCCTCATTGGCCGGGCCACCATCGGGGGGACCTCAGCCATGCACCTCCACTGGCAAGCCAGATGTGATACGATCCTGGTATTCCTCTGGCTTTCGAGCATAGAATACGAACGAAGGGATGAGAGGTGGAAACCGCCTGATGCGAGTGCAAGCGAACTGGGCACTTTTATGAACTAGAGACTTGCGGTACCGGCAACCCAGATTCCTCTCTCCACCCCCCTCGCGCTTTTAGGGGTAGATGTTCTCCCCGATCCCTCTACAGTAAACTGTACGAGTACGGAACAAAGGCAATTGCTATCCCAGATAATTCATCATCACCGTACGGGATCTCCTATTGAACGATGATTATGCTAAACCACCTCCGGCGGATCTTTAGGGAAGGTGACCATATCACACCATACATGTCACTTCCGTCTTCCCTAATAGTTGAGTAGGATGGATGGAAGCTCGCCAATACGATTAGGCACCGACACTCCATTGTGAAACACGTACCGGTAAGTTATCATACGTTTCGTGAATTCCCCGAGGTGAGACAGCAGATCCCGAACCTAGTGTTACCGTTTTTGTGCCGCTGGTGAATCCGCTTTGGTCACTTTCCGTCACTTGCGTCACTTTGCGCTTCTCTTTAGGGCTTCCCCCAAAGACAACATTTCACCACCATTCCGTGAAAGGAAAAAGAAAAAAAAAGACCTTGATCCCGACCTTCCATTTCTCATACTTCTTTTCTTCCCTCATCTCCTCAGTTAGAACCTAACTAACAACCTACAGACCACTTTTATTGTCTATGGTGCTGCACTAGTACAAACCCCCGAAATCCACCATCTCTATTAGGCGAGTTCTGCAATCTCCGGATTCGGAGACGAAAGCTCCCAACTGGACGTGTTGAATCCCGTTAACCGGTATGCGCAATTCTGTTAACCTGCCAAACTAAACCTATCGTGGGCTGACAAGCCGATTTCTGCTGATAATCTGATAACGGATTTCAGGAGTTTCACGGCACTCACACATACTGTACCAGACACTTTCTTTGAATCCTCCCCCCACCCTGAGCTATATCTTGCCTCAAGTATCACAACCATTCTTGAACACCTACACCAGCATTGAGGTGCTGGCTTCCCCTTCCGTGAGATACTCCGTCCGGATTGCTTCTGTACGCACGCAAAGAGCCGGAGCGGGAGAACAAACTCTGACTCACAACCAAAACCTTTTCCCAAAACAGCCACCCCAGCGAATTGCTGAAACCCCTGCAAATAGCCTCTCGGAAACATATCTGGCATGTCCAAGCGTAATGCAGATAGCCGTGGCAGTGGCAATGAAGACCCTGCCGGGGGATCTAATTGTCATAAACCCTCTGCCCCTCCATCTATTGCTAGTGGAAACCGGAGCGAGGGGGTGTTGACCGACCCAGAACGGCCTTCACTTAGCTCAGTCGCTCACCTCCAGTCCGGGCATTCGATTCGGCCTCCCGCGGGCAACTATCGTCGTCCTTCCCCCACCTTTGGTACTCCTCCAGTGGAAGCCCCTTCCTCGCCATTTCCCAGCGACCTAGAGTTCCTGCCACCGTCCGAGAGAGAAAGAATGGGTGTCGAGGAGCAAGGTTTGTTGAAGGATTGTGGGTTGATGCCGTCAGACTATGGAACCCTTGCCACGTCGGCTTCATCGCCGCCGCCGACAACACAGGACGATGCCAACCCGGAGGTGGCATTTACTGCAGAGACTACAGGCCTTCTCGGAGGTCACACTGACGATGTAATAAAGTGGCACGAATCAGTCGTTGCTGGCGCTGTTCGCACTTCGTACACCAGAGAGGCAAGAACGCTGGCGAAATACGCTGCACCATTATGGCTCACCTTCTTGCTGCAATACAGCTTAACAGTTGCAACTCTCTTTTCAGCAGGAACACTGGGGAAAAATGAGCTTGCTGCAGTTACCCTGGCTAGCATGACTGCAAACATTACTGGTTACGCTGTATATCAAGGTAGGTTTCAAAAAAATTCTGATCTATGACCTCTTTTTCCCCCTCTGCGATGTTTACAATTGTTTTTGGGCTCACCCCCTTTTTTATATGCAGGGCTCAGTACGTCGTTAGATACACTGTGTGCACAAGCATATGGTTCGGGAAGCAAGACTCTTGTGGGTCTTCACTTGCAACGAATGATATTGTTCCTTGGATTGGTCTCCTTTCCGATCATCACTGCTTGGTGCTTTGCCGAGCCGATTCTTAATGCTATAGTCCCTGAGCCAGAATTGGCCATATTATCGGGTAGATACCTCCGTATCTTGACTATTGGAGCGTAAGTTTCCGCTATCTTGTTCACCACCCCACCATATGCGAGGCTCTGGCTAAGTTTTTTGGAACTTCACAGACCTGGATTTGCGCTATTCGAAGCGGGGAAGAGGTTCACTCAAGCCCAAGGCAAGTCCACCTAACCTTTTTTTAGGCACCCGTTTCCTCTCTGCTCTTAATCATGACTCATATCGTTTCCAGGTATATTTGCCGCATCGACCTTCGTGCTCCTTATCTGTGCACCCGTCAACGCTGTTCTGAATTATCTGCTAGTCTGGGTGTGTTGATATGAGATCGATTTTTATGGTGAGGGGTCTCTGACTAATCTTGTAACTTCAGAATCCGACAATTGGGCTTGGGTTTGACGGGGCACCAGTCGCTGTCATTATTGTCGATTGGCTTATGCCAGTCCTGCTATTCTGTTATGTCTACTTTATCGATGGCTATGAATGCTGGGGTGGGCTTACCACGAGAAGTCTTCAGAACTGGTGGCCTATGGTGCCTTTTCCCTCCCATTTCTTTCCCACCTATCTCGGCTGGGGGAGCTCGAAGTGGTGTGCGACTAACCTTCTATGTAGATCAAACTCAGTATTCCCGGCCTAGTGATGTTAGAAGCAGAGTATCTAGCATTCGAGCTTCTAACGCTGATGTCCGCCCGCTTTGGAACCTCGTACCTCGCCGCCCAATCAATTCTCGCGACTGTAGCGGCGATTTCCTACCAGCTGGCGTTCGCTCTCTCTATCGCCAGTTCTACCCGGGTAGCAAACTTCCTGGGTGCGGCTATGGGTGAATCAGCGAAAGTTTCCGCGCGGACAGGCTTCATGGCCGCAATTGTTGTCGGTATCTTCAATCTCTGCATAATGCTCGGCGTACGCGAGCAGTTTGCCACGTTGTTTACTGCCGACGCGGATATTATCTCGCTTGTTGTGCATGTCATGCCCTTAACTGCAGCTTTCCAGCTGTTTGACGCACTGGCGTGTCTTGGGTCTGGACTTCTCAGAGGACAAGGTTTGCTGCCGTATACTTTGTCTATCACTCGGCTCGAAACACTAACGATGCTAGGACGGCAACATATCGGAAGTTACATCAACATCGTCGGGTACTATGGTATCGCGATGCCCATATCCGTGACTTGCGCTTTCGCCCTTGGCTGGAAGCTTATAGGATTGTGGTGCGGTGTAGCGGTTGCCTTGGCATTCGTCTCAAGTTTGCAGTCTTTCATAATCCTTAGGACCAACTGGGATAAGGTATGGAACCTTCCCGCTCATGCTCCATCTTCTGACAGCGCGCACTAACTTGAACAAATAGTGTGTTGAAGATGCCCAAGCGAGAATCAACGCTGGCTAGACTAGGATTTCATGAACATAGCGCATGAGCAATAGATTCCCTTCATCCGTTAATTTGGGGCACTAACTTTATACTTTTCGTTCGTAATGGCTATTGAGATTCGGGGGAATAGAGGGAGGCAGGCTGGGGACCTCACATGACGAAGCGTGGCGTAGATGAGGCTTGCAGGGTAGAATCAGGGTCTTTTCTTAATGCAAAATATCATGAGCATTTCTCTATTCTTTTTCCCTTTTTTTCTTCTTTCTCTTTTCTCTCCTTTGCGCTTTTGCGCTTGGTCTCGTTATCGGGCACGGGTTTTGTTAATCAGGATGGCGACGATGGAAGGATGTTGTGGCATGGCATTGACGTTTTTCGCTTTCATTAAAAAAACAGATACCCAGTTTAGGAATGGGTAGTGTATAGACATACCGACCGGTACGGTTGCAATTGATGCCACGATGAACGGGAGCTGCCACTTCATGGGCGCTGTCTCAGACTTTACTCTCCAAGCCCGGGCCCCTTTCCATATTAGCACCAAGTCCGCCGAACCTGTGACCAAAATCCCCCCTCGGGTTACCCTCATGCCGTGAAATTGTTGGCTTTCACTATTGGCTCCAGTGGTATGATACACGTACACATCATATTATCATACTTTGAGGGTGTTATTAACACGGTCATCGATGTTGGTACCCTCGCAATCAAAACCATCACATACCTCCAACGATGATTAGCATTTGAAGGGCAAGTGACCCCAAGCCCGGGTTGCCTCACTGGGGCGTGAAATTTCAAGGGAAAAATTCGATACCATATGCTGATATCTTGGAGCCCGTGACCTGGGGAGTTTGATCTGGCTTGCGTCGCATGCATCATAGACTATTGCAGCCCTCCTGGGTGACGTTAACTGTATCAATCTGCCGGCCGGGGGCCGTCTTTTGTCTTGTTTGATTCTATTTGCTGAGTCCAACACAGAATGAAAGATTATGTTGCAGGTCCAGATTGCTTCGAGCTGGTTCACGAACGATGGGTGTGGGAAAACCTTTTTTTGTCCTATAAAAGTTGAACATCAGCGTCTCCAGAGTTATACGGGCTGATTTCAGGGAAATCCTCCAAAATATTCAGGAATCTGCTGTAGAAAAATCCGGGGACAGCACCAGAGCACGGACCGCGATTTCCAATGCCGGGATCCTGCTCGCCGAAGTCTAGCGGGTGTTGGCACAAAGCTGATATGACCAACAGCAGGTGGAGCGATTTTGAGGTGGCATACCCTGGAGAGGGTAAAAGCCGTAGCTCAAAGCATCAACCTACCGGTAGCTCAGACCTTAGCGGCTATTTTTCACTTAAATCCAGGTTTTCTCAGAGCGCCCACCGAATCTCTGCTTGTCAACTCCTTCGATACCTTTTATTGCTATGATAGAATCTCTACCAATAGTCTCCTAGTTTTGACATAGGCTATCTAAGGGTTTTCATACACCTTTGGGGGCTGGGGGTAACTCGCCATGAGACGGTATAGAATACCTTTCGAAAGCCTATTTGGTCCAGGTATAAGGGAGCTCAGGATCGGTTTAGCCGGAAAGCTTGAGACCTGCGGAGAGAGTAATCGATCCCATCTTAAATCTAGTATCAACCCGAGAAACAATGTCCGAACGGATACTATGAACCAAAATATTGACTAGTATTGGGTCTACAGAATCCCGGTTATTATGATATCAAGCCCAAACAGCTACAGAACAAGGAGTAAAGGCAAACTACTCATACCAACCTGAGCAGCAGAGAATATGGGACGTAACGGAATATTTCCATTCACCCCGTCGCCAGAAGACACTATCGACGAAGACTCAACAGAAACATCATCGTCACTCCCGTTGTCACGGTTATCCCCACCGTCTCCCAGGCCATCATCGGCATGTCTCTGGAAGCAATCACTCCTTGTCTCGCCGTACACTGAAGAGAAAGGTAAATTCTCGGCAAGCCTCTTCTTTGACCGTAAAAGTGAGGATAACCTCACTGATGGATCGAGATCAATCATTCGGGCTAGTCAGAGTTTGAAGTAGGGGGAGAAAGGGAATTCCCTGTTCTTATTCAACACGATTTGCACTGCCGGTGGGGATCCTTATCATTCCTGGACAGGTGGCCGTGGCAGCTGGGAGGGGCTAGAGGTGATAGTGGTCTCGCTTCTGCTGAATATCAAAAGATAATATAGACTACAAGGAAAAGGTAAATTTTACTACAAGCTGCACCGGTACCGTATCCTGTGGCTATCGTCCTGTAACCTGTAGACGGCTCCTCTTCAGCTCCTCGCTCTCATATCATCGTTAATCCCAGGACGTGGGTGGCGGATCCCTAATTAAAATAATTCCCGCGGTAGCAGCCACTAAGGTCATGCACTATCGGATTGCTTCACCTAGGGCTCCCACCCGCTTGCTCCGCCCAGCTCCGATAACAACAAAACGCTTTCAACAAGGCAGGAACAACCCACCGAGCTTCTCGAAATCTCGAATATCAGCCCTAACTTGTTGGAATTCTGCGTGAGGCCGAGGAAGGGCCAGGTGGGCTTTTCGTAAATCGGCGGAGGCGGTGGTAGATAGATGCCAGGAGCCGGGTTGATGATAGAGCTGCCCAGGCTCCAGATGTCAAGAACGCCGGCATCGGGTATATGTCTGAGATATCGTCAACGCCCTCAATCCCTAGTTCTCTCTCTCTGGGACAAGATCCGGAAACTCTGGGGAGGTGTTCGTCTAGATTCTGCAGTAGCGATACACTCTTACTAAAGTCTAATTCTCTGGTTATCTAAGATCTGGCCTTAAATGTTATTCTAGGGAGTGGGGATGGTCAACTGTAATTTATGTAACATGCACTAGGGCCTCGGATACTGAGGTTCGGATCGCGTCTGTACTCCCTATTGTGCTCTGGAGTGTGGGGTTACCTATGGGCTCCGGGAGAACGTACTGAGTTTCCGTAGGTGAGCTAGAGCAGAGCTGGAGCCTTGGAGGACCCGAGATGGACGGGCATATATCCAGGACAACATGTCCTGAAGGTGATTCGTCAAGCATTGGGGAGCTCATTAAGGTTTTTTTCGGCAAGTACCGTACTAAACTCTCATTGATCACCTATAGGCGGGCCTATCAGCAGCCTGGCCCACTGGAGACGCTGATCACAAAATTGCACTCAATCTCGTGGATACGATATTCCGAATTCCACCAGTAGTGCTGATTAAAAGAATAACAAAGCCTACCATGACCACGATAGTAAAGACATAAAACGATAACTCCATAACACAAAATAACTCAACCGGCACACTAGAATCCCCCCACGGTGGAGATGTAAAAAATCCCACTAGTTTACACTGACAGGCAGCCGCACCGGCCTAAACTTATGCCAAATCCGCAGTGCTTACGTACCCCCACTTATAAGACTCATATACAGTCTTCGCCCGTGGGTCTTGCCTATCGCATCACTAGAAAAATCCTCCAGTTCCTCAGGCCTGGCATTTCTTGTCCACCGCACAAGTTCATCAAGCTCCGCTTGCTTAGTCCACTTTTGACCATTGGGCACTTATAGTCGCTCTCCTATCTAAGGCCATGGCAATCTGCTCCTGGCCTGAAGGCATTTTCCGTCAGCAATAGAAGTACCCAAACAATGACCATAGAAGATCAATTAGCATACCTGTCAACCCCGCAGCTTCTCGCCAATCCAGGCCGTACAGAATCACAAAGGTTTCGTGGAAGCTGATAAGCCCATTCTCGAAAGGCAAGCGTCTGAAATAACATCGGCTGCGTGGGCAGCATCATTTCCTTCCTCGATAGCTGCAGAAATGCCTATTCCAGGCAGTGTTCCCAACCGTCCCGGGCAGGGAGGGTAAGGGCGGCAGAGCATGGCGTCCGTCTTCGATAAAGACTGCCGTCCGAGGGGTTGACGCCGGGCCCGGGAGTCTTAATACAAATGGCATCCTCCGGCCGTCCCGGCTAGAGGTTAGGACGGACCATGGGACGGGCGTCCGTCCAGGACAGAGTTCCTCAGCGGGCGGAGCATAGTTATCCCCTTCCTATGCCGCATTAATTCGACCCCCCTGCGGTCCCGACCCCCCGACTAGCTGCTGCAGAGTAGTTTTCATCTGTTGAAAGGATTCTAGAAATGTGTCACCCTCTGCATTTGCATATATCGTCGATGATTGGCTATATGGACCCACTCGCACCTGGAATCTCCTGTGTCAAAGCAGATATTTTGAATGAGTCATGGCCTTACAATTGACACCATGCCCCTTTTTTTGATGGCTGAGCTTACTTCAACCCCTTAGCACACTTTTCTTCTCTTCGAGTTTTTACGGTAGACGGTCACATCATAGCGAGATTCGTGTCGCAGCAGACGGCTCAAAAGTGTTTACCTAATTTTCAACCCTCCCAAATCCTGATTCTAGTTGGTCAAATGAGACGTTGATTCAGAGGTCCAGTTGCAACCATGATCAAACACTCTAGACACTGCTCAAGGTAGAACCCTTCCAGAGACTCTGCTTGCATACAACCGTCAAGCTCTCCTTGACGGTCGGTGGTCCTCTCCATCCGCTGGACGGCCATCCATAGGTAAACGGAGCCTTATAGGGTCCGGGGATCCACTATCGAAAAGAAGGACAAAACTAAACCATCAGGAACCGAGAGCGAGCCTTGGACACCGATTATTCCTCGATCTACGTTTGCGCAGGGGAAAGGAGATCATCGCGACAGGCGGTGAAACTCACGGCGTGGAGGAGTTTGTTGTTATGGGCTTTGTTTCTCTGAGAGAAGAAGAAACCCCCTTTGTGCTGGTGGTTGAAGCGAAAAATGCTAACCTTGGGGAGGACATGAGAGAAAGTAATAATGGAGGTGCTGTGTATGGATTTATCACCGCGGGTGACAGGTGGAAAATGGCCCGCTACGATGGGGTGTTTCGGATGAGCGAAGGGATGGAGATTCTATTTGATAGCATGGACGAGGACAAGGGGAGGTGGATGAAAGATTACTCCATTGTAGTGGATTGCCTACTCGTCGCATTGAATTCCGGAAGCGTGACGGAGAAATGAGGGAAGGTATCATAAAGACCTATTGTGAAGGGAACTGGTTCCTGGAGGCTAATTTATTCTGCAGGGAACCGACTCAAGGGCGACGGTTGGGTGATTCGCCTTTTATGTTCTCCGACTGGGCTTAGGAGGGAAAGACCTGATTCATTGTGGGGTGGCTTATTATACGTGTGATTATTCATAGGCATTTATGTACGTACGCGTGCATCCCAGTGCCGATGGCCAATACTCAAAAAAAAAACAGGAGGGTAAATTTGGTGATTCGTCTGTTTTAGGTATCCTATCAAGCAGCGCTCAGCATTCCAGCGGTGGACTCGCGAGTAAATCCCGGGGGAGGTTGTCTTCAGCCAGCGGTTGGTGAGCGTCTAGCATAGCTCTTGTTGGAGGTCACACAGAAAAGGCCGCAGTGGAAGTACAAAGTGATGGGACTGATCAAGAAATAGGAGAAAGAGAAAGACGGTTGTTCTTCTTGTTGTTCTACAGATACATCTCAGATCGCCATACTTATAGCAATTTGTGGCATGAATATACATCGATGTGACTTCAGTCATTTCCTAGGTCCGCAAGTTCCAAGTGGCCCAACAGCCGGCCCAACATATCCGCACCACTCATCATATTGCGGTAACATTTCCAACAGCTCCTTCTAATCAGCAGCGAGTGATTTCTTGTGATGACATTACAGAACACTCTTCCCTATGGGTGATTGGATGGGTCTGGTTCATGATTGCTGATATCGTGTGCAGTATCCTTCTTTACCCCGACTGAGTAAGGAGGGAGGGCAAAACGGTTGCTGGAGAGGGTAATTCTTCCATCACTTCCACTCTCCTCCAATGCCTTCGTATTAACCATCCGCGTCTGATGCCTTTTCTTCTTTCCTTTTCGCTCCACCCCTTTTATTTGGGGAGGGGGGCGAGTCGCATACAAGTTACAATAGTATCATAAGTCTCCTAAAAAATAAAATGGAAGAAAGAAAAAGCAAGGCATACCATACGGGATTGCGTCGTCCAAGCCTCCACCACTACATACGAGATATACACTACGCCCTCGTGCGCCCATGATACCCAAAACGAAAGATACAAGTCACCTTGCGGCAGAGAGTTCTATGCGCGCTTCCAAGTTGGGTCAGGTTTCGCGGTATCCTGGCGAGGCCAATCATTTCCCAAGATTCGATATCCCAAGAACCGTGAACACGAAAACAACCTATACATTTTTTCAAAAAAAAAAAAGCCAAGAATAACAACCCCCAGAACAAAGGAAAGTAGTTAAAATGCTAGTACAAATGCCGAATCTATCAAAACACCACCAACCCGGGCCTAATTTACAAAATAGTAACAAGAAAATACAATCACCATGAAGCAGTTCCATCACTCCTCCCTCTCCTCCCCCTGCTCTTCTCCTCAAACTCTTCATCGGGCAAACTCCGGGGTTTCTCCTTGCCCCTACTATTCAACTGCCTCACCTCCTGGAGAATGAGTTTCACGTCCTTCATACTCTCCTCCAGATTTCCTATTCTTGATAGCATCATTCGCCCTAACATAAGGTCTGCAACACTGCCCCTGGAACCTGTCGCCATGGCCATCTGTGTTGCAAAACTTGAGGGAAGTTGGGGCTCTTCCGGGTGCTGGGCTAGATCTAGAATTGGTGATGGCGATCTCATGTGTTCATCGCTCGGTACCATCAAGTGTAATCCCTCCAAATTTTGGGGTGGCTGTAAAAACTTTCTTGGTGTGGTGATTGCTCTTGCACGTGTTGCTGTTTGTGGCCTTGATGAGCGAGGGGAATGCTTTTTCCCCGATGCGTTTTCCATGGCCCACACTGCTGTGCGTTCACTGCTCTGGCGTGAAAGCCGGATAGGGCTAATCCTTTCGACTTCATCTTCGGACGATTGGACAATCGGAGGGTTAAAGGTGTTTTTTATGGTCTGTGAGGAGCCCGTTCGAGTGTGGTGACGGGAGGCGAATTGCTTCCTCAGTGCTTGTTGGGTGAGTTTAGTGAAGGAAGAGTCTTTGGGAAGGCCTGGTATGCTCTTGGTTGGTGAGCCTTTCGTGGGTGCATTCTCCTCGGTCGTTTCCTGTTCCGAGCTTGGCGCCTCGTTGTCGTGGCCCTCAGTATCGTTGGTAATTTCCTCCTCGTCCTCTTCGTCACGAGAGTTCGCTTCATCGTCTCCATCATCATCAGTTCTGATTATATCCAATGGCTCAAGTTTGGTGTGGCTCTCCTCGAAACCTCCCAGGCCCTCCATTTCCCCTGTGTTGGCAAATTCCTCAGGATCCGATATCACCGATCTGGTCGGTTTTCTCAGGGCGGAATTTCTCTGTAAGTCCTCGATAGTTCCATAACTATCTCTCTTTGCGAACTTGGCAAAGCCAGGTCTTCCCTTCTCCATGGCTCTTCTGCGAAGATTGAATCCATCCTCGAATTCCGTCGGCGGGGATCCCGTTGGTGATACTACCCCTTTCATCCAGGACGTTACAACACCACCGGGCACGTCCATCCTTCTTCCACTACGGATGGACAACTCTCCCCGGTAAGGTCTTCGGAAAACCTCATCCAATGCCCTGTCTTGATGATGGCTCGCAACTGAACCAGCACGGATCCTGCGAGACACTGTGTTAAACACACCCTGATCGAGCGGATCGAATGTTTCCCGGACAGTCCTTCGCGTGCGCTTCTTGGAAAATACATCCGATTGCTCGAAAATTGAGTTCCCGAGGATAGTCCGCTCATATAGAAATATGAGCAACAGAATCGGGAAATGGGTAATTTTGATAACCGTTCGGTTTAGCCGGACAAACTGACGGAACGGCATAACATGGCGTAAGGGATGAAGGATCCAGCCGAGGAGGTTCAGTGGTGCCGTGTATGAAAACAGACTGTCGGATTTGACCAGTGACAGTGTGTTTACGGCCACAAGAAACTGATGCTCTGAATCAAGATTAGCCTTGATCAGGAGCAAGAATGGGGTCTCAATTACCCTCTTGTGAGTTGGCAGCTACTGCCGCAAATGAGTTCGTCAAGACCGTAATCAAAATTGTCACAATCAAAAAGTGGCAGATGATCATAAAGGCCGAGAGAAGAGCTTTCCCGAGGAGCTGCACAAGGACATTAGCACATCTACCGGCCAGGGGCAAGGCCCCCAGAATGATAGCGTACGTTATACGATTCCCATGACTCCCAAGCCTAGATTCGGGGATTAGCTATATCTCTAAAAAAGAAAAAAAAAGCCGGTCCAAGATTATACGTACTGCAGGGGTAAATCCCATCAAGATCTGAAAGAGCGCATAGCTGTTGAGTTACGAGTGATTAGTTGTGACGTTCAAGCATCCACCACTGATGATCACTCACCAAATTTCCCTCGCAGAATAGGAGTCTCTGGCAAACGAAGTAAAGGCAACGAAAAACCCCGAGCAAAAGATCAAAATCAACACTAGAAGCGCCACCATGTCTACCGCCATGATCTTGAAAGCGATGATGAGCTGACTGAAATACCGGTAGTGATCTCTATTGTACCAACGTCAATCAGTTTCTCACCCTCCATATCGCAACACTGGATCGGTGCCTCGACGCCTCTAGGGGGGCTTACAATACTGAGAAAATCCTGGGGAACAGGAAAACAGCACATGAGGCCAAGATATCGTAGCTCCAGCCCGTCATATAGTTTCCTCTCCCAGGAATGACGATTCCAATAAACCGCAAAACATAGAATCTATCAATGTGTCAGCATTTGAACCCTCGGGTGGATTTTGTCGCCTACTAACGCTGTAAACAGGAGATATATCCCCATGTCGAACGAGTTCCAGAGTGACATGAAATACAGCGAAACGCCAGCTTCGGTAAAGCCAGCAATTTCGTCCTATAGATATTTAGGATCCGGATCGCTGTGAATCTTCCCCATAAAACCTACCATCATGAACCCAAACGACCAAACCCAGAATACAGCCTCCAGTGTAGTGATTTCGTAGGACCTATCGATCAAAACCATGACATACCTAAAACGGGGATTAGTACCTAAAGGGCTTGGCCTGAGCCCAAACCGAGGGTGGTCTCACAGGAGTAGTAAAATCGCAAGTGAAAAAGTCGACGTGATATGCTTGTATCTCGGGACTCTTAATCTTGAGAGCTTGAACAAGCTTGCATCGCATGCATCATAGACCGTTGCAGCTCTCCTAAATGACATTAGCTGCGTCAATCCGCCCTGTGAGGGCCATCGTTTGTCTTGTTTGATTCTGTGCGCCTGGTCCAACGCAGAGTGAAAAACTATGTTTCCGGTCCAGATTGCTTCAAGCTGTTTCATGACCAGCGGGTGTGAGAGAAACTTTTTGGCCTATAGAAGTTGAATCTGTTAGCGTCTCTGAAGGTATTCGGGCGGATTTCAAGGGGAAATCCTCCCAAGATAGCCTGGAATCCTCGAATGAACTGGGAGCCGTACCTGAGCGCGGACAGCGATTTCCAACGCTGAGATCCTGCTTGCTCGCTGAAGCCTAGCAGGTGCTGGTGCAAAGCTGATATGGCCGACAACAGGTGGAACCTCTGGGGCTGTTGGAGGTGGCATACCCTGGAGAGGGTAAAAGTCATAGCTCAAGGCATCAATCTGGTTCAAACATTAGCAGCTAGTTCTCACTTGGGTCAAGGTTTCCTGGAGGCCCCACCAGTTCTCGGTTCGTAAACTCCTTCAATAGCTTTATCGCTAGAATCTCCGCCAATAACGCCCTAGTTTTCGAGACAGAGGCTATCCCAGGGTTTTCGTATGCCTCCTTTGAGAACTGGAGGCAATTCGCCATAAGACTGTACAGAATGCCCTTCGAGAGCCTATCCGGTCCACGCATAAGGGAGCTCAGGATGGGTTTCACCAGAAAACTTGAGACTTGCGGGGAACGCAATTGATCCCATGTTAAGCTAGTATCAACCCGAGAAACAATGTCTGAACGGATACTATGAACCAGAGTATAGACTGGCATCGAGTCTACAAACTCCCCATTATTATCAAACCCACACAGCTGGGG